TTTTTAATAAGAGAAAGAGTTGGATGAAGATATGGGATTTCAATCTATGAAATCATGTTTTTATAGAAGATCTTGTGTGCCTTATATGTTGCTTTTGGAAGTTTAATCACTTAATCTCTAATGCATGATGCTCTACGTCTTCTAGCTCTTTATTGCAATTATTACCTCAAATTTTTCCAATTGCTGAAGCTGAAAGAAGCGTATCTAACCGTCTCGAGAAGTAAAGGAATATTTTCAACCAATCTAGCCAATTCTCTTTCTCTTGAAAATCGTGATTAAATTTGTAGGGGATTGCATCAAGCTGTTTAATTCATTTTTATCATAATTTAATTTTCCTGCACATTTTTATCCATATATTCTCTCTCTATATATATATATGTGTGTGTGTGTGTGTGTGTGTGTGTGTGTGTGTGTGTGTGTGTGTGTGTGTGTGTGTGTGTGTGTGTGTGTGTGTGTGTGTGTGTGTGTGTGTGTGTGTGCGTGTGTGTGTGTGTGTATGCGTGTGCGTGTGTGTGTGTGTGTGTGTGTGTGTGTGTGTGTGTATCCTATTTTATTTTATTTTTTATAATGACAAAAGGAGGAGAATTTCATGGGAGTATTTAACGAGGATAAAAGCATTTTGAATGCTTTAAATTGAACCTGAACTCATATCAGATTTTTTTTGTGTTTTTATCTGAAGATTATTGTTTTTGCTATCAAGATAAGTTTAAATAACTTGGATAAGATTTAGGAGGAGCTTATAAAACTCAACATTTAGACTATTAGACTCGGGGAAGCTTACAAACCTCAGATCTTTATGTTATCAAGTTAGTTAAACTGACCAACCGTTATTCTTAAATACATTTGTTTGTCATCATCAAAAAGGGGGAGATTTTCGGAATAAAATTGTTCATATTCCTTGGGTTTTAATGATAACAAAGTACTTAGAGAACAATTGGATATACTAACATATGTTCAAGTGTGTAGGATCATAAGCTTAAAAATCAAATTATGACTGGCCCTCATTTGAATATATGAAGAGAATAAAATGGACTTAAATTCTGAAGGATCACAATCCGATTACTCAACTTGGTAGCTCTGCTTCTGTTGAGACTCGAATTCTAAAAGACCTGAGCTAAAGATACTTTGCTTTTTGATCAGTACTCTGTCTCTAAAGCAGACAGATCTTGTCAAAGCCGGATTATTGAAAAAGTTAACTATAATTTCTTAGTGCAATGCTTAAGGAAAGTTGATGTGACCTCTTTAGCTGCCACAACATTTTGGCAGATATATAGTATGAGATAGAGGCACTAGATAATGGTTTTACTTGAAGGATGGGGATCTTAAAAAAGATTGATTTCCAACATCTCTCTTGGATCTGTTTCTCAACAAAAATCACTTATGCAATTTCCTTCAAATGTCTTTTTATCTACCTATATAAAAGGAGTTGAAGATTTGAAGGAAGATAACTAACCATCTAACTAGAACAACACGAAGCACAATTTTGAGCTAAAGTTGTTATAATTTTTTACTACACAAGTTCTTAAGATTTCTTATTTTTGTATATCTTAGAAATCTTAAGTGTTTAAAAATCTTTGTGGTTGTTGTATCACTTATATACCTCTAATTTTACATCAAGTATATCCGTCATTTATTCTCCTAAACTATAGAAAGTCTCTTGGTAGTTTGTTTGAGCAATGGAAGTCTCTTGCCTATGTGCTTAAGCAAAAGAAGCCTCTTGCCTGTGTGCTTGAGCATAAGCCTTTTGCTTGTGTGCTTAAGTCTTTTTCTAGTTTCATTGAGCAGTTGAAGTCTATTTCTAGTTTGCTTAAGCAAAGTGTAATCGGTTTGTATAGTGAAAATCTCTTGTTGGACAAGGGAAATGGACTACTTTCAGTTTAAGAGAGGAACCAATATAACTCTATGTATTGCTTTATTTCTTCCTTTTGATTATTATTCATTATACTGCTAACAACTCTGAGATCAGATTCTAAAGTTGGTTTATTAGAAGGATAAAAAAGAACTCACATATACAATTCAACCCTCATTCTTGTTTATTTTTCTCACCTTCAAGGAATGGTGGGATAACTCTGAATTAAGTGTTCAAGTGTCTTATAGTATCAACAATAATTTGAAGTTATACGGCAATAAAATTTGGTAGACTTATTTGTAACTACAAATACATGATCAACTTGTTGGCGAACAAGTCTCAATCTAATTTCTTCAGACTTGAGACAAGGAAGAGCATTCTCTAGGGTAGGCAAAGGGTTTTAATGCAACAAGGAAGCTCGAACTGGTTCATAATCATCAATGAGAGCCACCCGAAACTGAATAAGGAAAATACGATTGTGATGAATCTCGTATGGTTTTAGGCAAGTAGCATCTTTTAGTGAAGGCTCACATGAGGCTGAGTGATTTCAAATAACTTCCATTTGTGCTAAAAACTCATAAAGAGGTTGACCAAATTGTTGTTTCAAATTACCAAGATCCTTCAACAATTGATAATGATGGGATAAATCAAAGATAATATAAAGTTATTTTAAATGATCTCATATTTGTTTCACATTCTTGAATCGCCAAAATTGTAAATGAATATTCAGAATAAAGGTATTTTGAATCCAAGAAATGATTTGATAACATAAACCTCTTAAATTTCATCGTTAAACACTTTTTATTTCTTATATGGTTTCTCCAAAGTCGACGGCCTTTCAAAAATTCGCTTATTGCTCCAGTCCACTGATTACAATTGAAGTCATCGAAAATTATGGTAATTGAGCGAGTAACATCGGATTTCTCCATTGTAATACAATAAAGTTTAACCGAAAACAAAATACAAATACAAGCAGAGACTCCCATCAATTACAATCCCACACAATGAAACAATTCTCACCGTTTGCAAGTGGAACCGGCATAAAAATTTCCAACCAAAAAAACTCATAAGGAGAAAGAAATTTGATACCGTATAAAAACTCAGAAAGATATCAATAATATTTGTGTAATTAATGTATAAGTACACGGAAAAAAACTCATATTTATAGTATAGAATTGCAGACAAATAAACAAATAGAATAGTTACTCATAAATATTAATTATACACAACATAATTACAATATAAATTACATTATCTAGTCATAACATATGATAACATGACTAATATCATGAATTTGTTCTTTTTGATAGAAAATCTTGACCAATTTTAATCATTATACCACTTAAAAGGGGGTCAGTTTACCATAAGAAAAAACCTTCTCCTCCAAGTGAAATTCCAAACTCAAATTCCATCATTGAAATACAAAGCGACATATAATTTACAACACTTCTTTACACATTGGTTTATAATTTGAGGAGAAAATAGTAATTTACAAAATCAACCCTAAAAACCCAAAATCATTGTGCCACATTATTCTATTTTAAATACTCCCAACTAACATGCACAAATCATTCTAATCATTACAAATAGGATGGTACATGAGAATAATTGTACAAACCCTAAAGTCCAAAAAATAAGAATCAACCCCATATAAAAACCCACCCTACTCATACATAGTCTTAGATGGTCCACTCAATAATACAAGTTATGATATTCTCATCTATGGAACTATGTATAAGGACACACCAACATGTCTCAATCTACCACCAAGGCTGCATGCTGCATTCCAACATATATTACTTTAAAGTACAATACTATTTCAAATGCATGCTTGCTTAACTTTTAGTTAGAATGAGAGTAAAAATTTTAACATGTAAAAGTATGGTAATGAAATGTTTGGTTGAATGAGGTAATGGAGTGGTCCATAAATGATACTTCATTTTTGGACTTTCTTTGATAGTGTTATCATCACACTTACATACTCAAACAAAAGACTATGCATGAGTAATAGACCAATAAGAAACTCTAGCATATAGTATACTCTTAAAAACCATCATCAAACATATAGCAAATATATGTAACACCGACACCTCTGAAAAAAAGATACTTATGTTGATGTTTGAAACTGACACCAACTTTAAATTATGTTGATGTCTGAAACTGACACCAACCTTAAATTATTGTCCGTGTATCAATATCAATGTGTCAGTGTATCAATATCAATGTCTCTGAAAAAAAGATACTTATGTTGATGTTTGAAACTGACACCAACCTTAAATTATGTTGATGTTTGAAACTGACACCAACCTTAAATTATTGTCAGTGTATCAATATCAATGTGTCAGTGTCAATGTTCGTGATTCATAGTAGCAAATCCTACACTACTAGTTCCACTTTATGCAGGCAAGATGTTAAATTATACTCCCTCCATCAAGAGAAAATTAACCATAAGGGATTGTTTGGAAGAAGACTTGGAAAAAAAGAATTATCTGCACATTTCCAATGGCTTGTAATCATTGTACACAACAAATAACTATAATATATTATAACCTAAAGACAGTTTCCTAATCCAATGAACCCTGTATAACAAAGCAATCTCATGAACTAAACCTAGAATTCACCATCATCTTGATGTCAAAATCAAAAGAAGGTGAAGGTAAATATTGGTACTAACAAAAATTTAACAAACTACAAAGAAAAAAAGAACTGTCCTAGCACTTGTGTTCTAAACACCAAACTATATATGGATGACACAGGCTTGTGACCCTTTAGATGTCCATTGAGGAATCTTTGATGCTCTAGCCACAAAGAAAGATCGATAAATAGTATATTCTCTCGCCAACAAAAATTAGAGGACGCGTTTCTATGTAACAAGACTCTGAACGTCACGCCAGGTCCATGTCAGAACAGATACCGTGTCTGTGAAAACAACGGTTGGGGATGGCATTGAATCCACCCACCGTATGTCCTGATCACTTTGTCCTCTCAACCAATTCTTCTACTTGCCGCCTTGTTGAAATTCTTCTCGAAGAAAATCTCAAGCTGCAAAAATTTTAGATGATGCCTGTATTTTTTTACTCGTCCGTTTCGTAGTAGTATCCATTGATGTAACGTTCGTACCGTCGTGCTTCTGCTTCTTCTCGTTGATAGACTATGAGTCCATGATATTACAGTTCCTAACAAAATCATTTGAATAATTGACATACTTGCTCCAAAATGGTCTAAGATGTTCAAACCCGATTTCTAACCAAGGTTTTGATTGGCCATTGTAATGAATAACCGCAGCCATTTTCACATCCTCGACATTGGTGTTGTTCTGATAACCTAAACCAAGCATGTGCCAAGAGGGGTCAATTGGATACACACGACCTTTAAATGCAATCAAAGCTGGAGGTAGGGTTCCTAGCTTCCACATCGTCATGTTTGACATCAGATTCTGCAGTATATAACAAAAGCTTTCAATTGCCAATAGAAAAGATGCGAATGAAGAAACCAAAATTTGCGTTAACTTCTAATACATATGTAGCACTGACACTTCAGATTGAACGTGTCTGGTGTGTCTGGTATCTGAAACCGAAATGATACGTGTACTTATGTTCAATCACTTCCAATTTTCAAATTATTATTGGTGTCACGTGTTGTATCTGGTGTCCATGTTAGTGTCAGTGTTGCATAGCACACGTTTCAAATGATTAAAGTATATTGGATTTGAGGATATGAGGATTTTATACCTCTTTCAGCCAGGAATGATATGTCTCTCTAATATTTGACATTCTCCATATACGAAGATCGAATACATTCATTCCGTAAGCCCAAGCACACTCATCAGGATCCAAATGCTCTGCAATGAGGGGATGGGAAAAATTGAAGTAGTGCTTTAAATGCTTCGACATTACCCAATCATCTTCACCTCTGCAAGTTTCCACAGCTCCGTTAACTTTTCCATTCATATCAATTTCCCAAAGCGGAGACAAATCACGCTGAACCACAACATCGTCGTCCAAAAAAACCACCTTGTCAAGGTTCGGAAAAAGCTGTTCAACACACACGAGACAAACACAATCAGCACAAATATGATTCGGAAGACTATCTTATTACTCAAGGAGAAAATATTAACATACCTCGGGTATGTATATACGGATATGGTTGAGTAAAGATATGTACTTTGGACTTCTCGACTGCAATTTTGACGCGAATTTACGTGGATTGGGATCACTGAGATTGGCTCCCAAGAGATGATTCCCATGATAGTAATCCCTAATTGCATTTTGGCTTTCTACGGCTTCAAGTACCGGAACATTTTCTCTAGTTAACCAGTCAAACTGGTGAAGGCCTTTGACTTCAATTATAGCAGGTGAGGGAGGATTTAGTGCGAACCACGAGTGCATACCGGCATAAGTTTTTTTGTCGGTGATGACATGGAAGACTATGTTTTCAGGTATCTGAGACGACTGAACGGTAGAGGCAACAACTACTGAAGCAGCCAAGATGTTATCGGTTGACAAAATAAAATGGTGGTAAGAGTTGTCGGAGAGCATAGGTAGTAACTCTGGCGGAGGCAATTGTTTGCGTGCATGCGCATTCGACGAATATTCATCGGTTAAACGCAAAGAGAGACAATTAATCCCTTTAGGGATAGAACTAGCTGCAAAGTGTTTATTCATCAGCTCTGCAAATTTTGATTCTCTGAATTCTTTCTCAAATTTCTCCATCTGTCCAACGAAGCATAGCATCGTAACAAAGATCAATCAATATAATCATCATTTGCTAGCACTATCAATACAAGAACTAAAAATTCAGCTATGATAAATGTGAGTAAGTGCGTGTTTGGTTCTCCGGTTGCAAAAATTGATTCTGTAAAATTGATTTTACCAATCCAGAAGGATTTTTCATTGCAGATGATCCTTTCACCAATTAATACTATTTATCAAGAGAAATGTGATAGTTAATGTAAACATAACATGCAACTTACCATTCCCTTTAACATTAAAGCGAATGTTTTCGCATCATATTGATTATCCTTCATATCAGAAACCATTTGATCAAATGAATTTGGCAGCTTTAAACTAGATGGAATTTCCCCGGTCTTCACCTCGTTCAGTATTTTGTAAAAATCTTTAACTAATCTCTGTTGCACCATTATCATCGTGACAAGAAGCATTCAGATTAAATTGTTCAACCAAAACTTTCCTAGATATGATTATCTATTCTGAAATCTATTTTAACGAGAAAAATAAAAGTTTACCGCTGAATTGTCCGTCCTGCCAAGTAGCCTTGGTCCTAACCGTCTACCTAAACAATCTGGAGACAAGAAAAACCAAGGAACCAATAAAGGGTTAGAAATAAACAAAAGACATGATGCCAACCATACACAAAGATTAACTTTCAGAACCAAATAGGAGTAATATAATGAAATAAAGACACAAACACACGAGGCGACATTTCAAAATAATAGAAATCGATAAATCCAAACTCATGTTGACAACTGACAACAACAGAATCAGAGTCGTCTTAACTTTTTGGAGGCCATGTGCATGTTAGTCATGATTCAACTATGAAAAAACAATTATAGACCCTATTTAACCACAATTTAACAGTGACAAATATATTATGAGACCCTATTTAACTATGATTTAACCATGACAAATTTTGGGCCCGGGGTGATAGTCCGCCTTGCACGCCCTCAAAGACGACCATGAACAGAATCTAGCTGGTATTCTAGTCCTATATCATAAAGCACGTGTCGAAGTTCACTAACAAATCCTAGGAAAACATAATCATCATCATCATCATTATCACCTGGAGGACTATCAAGAGTACTCAAATTATGAATCAGAAGACGTATTTTTTGAATTGTGAATCGAATCTTATTATAAATCATAAGATACATTATTCAAAGTGAATCAGAATTCATAATCATGAATCATGATTCAAAACAAGATTCATATCCAAATTAAGATTCATATAGATCAAATTTAGTCTTGTATCGAATTGAGATACCATATATAGTAAGTTACTCATCACAACAAAGATCCAAAATTCATTCAAATGAAATGCTCAAATTATCAAATCACACTTAAGATCCTAAAATGAATCCAAGTTCCCGCTAGAAAACATCCATAATCAAAATGAAAACAATTCATGATTCACAACTCTTGATCCAATATTCAAATCAAGATCCATCTTAAAAGAAACAAACACATAGTAATAGAAAACAAAAGAGGATGATGATAATTGAAGATTAAGGTAGAGGAGAAGAAAAGAATTACCCAATGAAGAACACTTGTTGACACCTTCAAGGGTAACAAGAGCAGTGAGAATGAAGACAAATGGCAACAAAAAAGCAAGGATGAGTATGGTATGAAAAAGAGTTCGATAAGAAATGTGACAAGCTGCGACTTTGATCTTCATCAAGTCAATAAACCCATTGTTGCTTGATATCGTGATGCTTCTCATGCTAGGCGAGAAATAAAGCTGCATCGTCGTTTATGATGCAAAAGCACCACTAAGTCGTTGCCACCGACAACAACAACAACAACAATAAACGACAACACTTTACTTGTTATTACACATGAAACATCATTATCAACAACAACAACATTAATTTTCTTTTGACATTGCTTCACGAAACCCACCATCAGATCCACACCCTCTATGATGATGATGATGATGACCCTTTGAATCTGAATTTTTATTTGGTCTTTTCAAAGACCGCATTGAAGTTTTTAGCCAAATGGGTTATCGAATCTAGGTGAAAGGAATCAACTTTCTTCTGGGTTTTGATGGAGTTCTTCTTCCACCTCCATGGATCAAAGAAGAGAGAGAAAGTGAGAAAGTGAGAGAGGGAGAGATAACTATTTTTCTATTTCCGGAAAATATGAAAATGAGAAAAAGGAAGAAAAAAAATTATGAAAAACTATTGTGAGTCAAAATTGTGTTGGGTTAGAGAGAGGTGAGAGAAACGTGGGGTAAATGTTTGACCTTAATTTTAGGGAGGTGTCCTATGTTTATGGACAATTTTTTAAGGATTATGTGTGGATAGCATTATGATAGAATGGTGGTTAATTTTAGTTAACTAATTAATCTTTTTAACTTTGTATTAGTATAATGAGAGAGGAGTGAAATTGAGATTATGATGTGGGAAAATGATATACAATGTTTGACATTTAGAATATTAGAATGCTGGTGTATTTTTAATAAATACAAAAGAGCATTTTTTTTAGAAAACAAAAGGAGTTTTATTTATTGGGAAAATGTTTATTACTAAAAAAATATATAAAATATAAAAATAAATTTAAATTATTCATTATCATCAATAGAATCTCTATTAAAAAAAAAATTATTTTAAAATTCACCTCTAAAATAGTGAGATGTGTGAATTCTTGTATTTTTTTTCAAATTGTTTCTTATTAAATAACATTACTTTATTTATCGTGTCTCTTATTCTTTTTGTTTTAAAGTAATAAAGGGGTTTTTCTAATTTAGATTTTTTTTAATTTAGTTTTTTTTTTTACATTCTTAGCTAGAGTGTGAGCCGAAATATTATTTTCTCTCTTGATGTAAGTAAATATAATTTTTCTAAATTTATTTCTCTTTCATTGTATGTAGTTGCAAACCATACCCTCATAAGTTAGGGTTCTTCTTCTCCATTCATCATCTCTACTAGAGTTTTGTTATTAAATTTAAAATCAAATCTAGAGGACAACAATCTAAAGCTAGCTCTTCTGCTTTCTTCACAGTCAAAGATTCATCTATTAGAGGATCATTATCTTCATGCATGCAGTAGGTGCTAGTAGCCATTGTTTCACCTTATCATTTATGCAAATAGTTCTAAGTCCCTCTTTTCTTTTTACTGCTAGTTTTGTGTCAATATTATATTTTATCTAGCCGTGTTTTGGAGGCATCTAGTTGGATTAATGAATCTCTTGTTTATCGCTCTGAGGATCATGGTTTTTACCCAGTAAGTTGTTATTTCTATCATTTTTTTTTCTTTGATTCATGGTATCATTGTATCTCTTGTTAACTTGATTTTTCCCTTTTTTAAGGTGTTTTTTTTTTTCAAGATCAAAGGTCATCAATCTTCTTTGCACGTCATCATTTTTGGGGGTTTTGGTTGATAATTTTTTTCTGGTAAGTTCTCCTTGATTGTCAAAGCTTTTCTCAAGAGGATTCAATATGGATTGATGAGTTTTCTAGGTATCGCTCTGAAGATCATAATTTTCGTCAAGTAAAATATTCATTTTCTCGTTTTCTTTGTCTTTTCTTCGATTCCTTAAACGTGTGTTCCTCTTGTTAACTTGAATTTTCTCTTTTCAAGGTGTTCTTTGTAACACCCTAAACCTCAAACACTTAATTTATAAAACATGCGGAATAAAATACTCAAAAGGGTGCCACATTTCTCAGCATAACATTCTCAATTCATGATAGCAACGGAAAATAAACTCCAACACATCTTCAATTATCTCATAAATAGAAAAAAAAAACTTTATTTAATCAAAAGGTTCAATTAAACAACTTGCAGAAAAGAAAAATAGAATACGTTACCCTCAACCCAGTGCTACACTATAAGAGCGACACACGGGAAACTAAACAACGCAAAAAGATAAACAATACAGAAGGAAAATTATGTCATCCTCCAATACGAGCAACAACTAAACCTCCTTAGTCTCAATTTGAGTATTTGCACCAAAGGCGTAAAAAATAACACATAAACAAATAGAAAATAGGTGACAAATACATTCCATATATTAGCGGTGTATAAACATTAATGTTAGTATATTATCATAGTTAAATCAATCATATAAATCCAACAATAGAATAATTAATCAATAAATGAGATTATGTATGTAATGTGTTCATGTCCTCTACTTTCATGCATGTGGTACCAATATTTTGGATATTCAGAGGTATGTTAGCGTATCATCCAACTCGTCACTGGACCAAAGTCTTAATTTGTCACTAGACCGAAGTCTTATCTATCTATAATATACATGATGCATGAATGCTACACATGCAATACACGTCTCAACCTCCAACTTTAGTACTCGTCATTGGTTTCTCTCGAACCAAAACTCAGCATAAATCATTATTAATCCAAGGTCACGTCAATGGTTCCACTAAATTGAAACATCTCAGCATAGACTCAAAACTCCCGCCTTTCTAAATTTTCTCTTTTGATTCCTAAGTTTACCTTTTACTTAAGTTTAAAATAGTGTTTTTATATGATACTAAGGGTTTAAACAACTATATTGACAAGACTTAATAGTTTAATATGAACATAGAAAGTATAACTTTAAGGGTTTAAATAACTCTGCCGCCAACTGCAGTTGGATTTGATCCGTGGTAACACCACCGCCGCCGCTGATTTTTCGGAACGGCCTTGGCGTCATCACTGATTTTTTGACACGGCTTCTTCGCCATAATTCTGCCTCGCAGCTCCAATCGATATTCTGCGATATTCTGTTTTTGGCCAATTTTTCGACTTTTGTGACTTTTCGGTGTTTTGTGATTTTTCTCTCTGCAACAGTTCCAGAATTTTATACTTTCGTTCTAATGAGGTTCAGACTCAAAAATTAACATTTTCTCATCATCAACAACATTCGCTCATCACAATTCAAAACTCATCAATCACACAATCTCAACATATTTCATGTTAATTAATAACATCCATATCAACAGAGAACTCTATGACATCAATCATAACATTTTAACACATATCATATAATTTCAGCAATTCACTAAGCACGAAGATTAAGATTAATAACAACAACCTTAAGAGGTTTTCCATAAACCCCTTCAAAGTTCAGTTCATTCATATATAGGTGAAACATAAAAGATAAAAGGCAAAGATGATAACGACTCCTCTCTACTCTTCATGCTTAACACTCATATATTAAATAATTCTCACCCCTTACCTCAAACTTGCAGAAAAGCTTTGAAATTTGGCTATGGAGGTTATCTTATTCACTTCCTCTCTTAGGGTAGTCTCCACTCTCTTATTACTCTTTATTTCTCAAAACTTCAACATACCCTCTTTTATCTGTTCTCCCTTCTACTTAAATAGAAAATTATGTTCATTTTTATTTCATTAATCACACCAATTCCCTTAATTTCTCATAATTCTATCCACTTAATTATTTTTATTTAAAATTATATTTCATTATCCATTCAAAAATTCTCTCAATTTCTGCCAATTAATTTATTAATTAAATAAATTCTATCAATTATCCCTAATTTTATTCTACTTTAATACTAAAATCAATGTTCTCTACTTCTACCTAATTTAATTATTAAAAATATAAGTAAATTTTACACAACAACTCATTAGCCCATATAATATTAATTAATAACACAATGGAAAATGTCAGTATTTTAGATGCATGGGAAAAAAAAAGCTTATGCACTGGAAACGTGATGAATAAGTAAAAAAAATGTTGTCAGAATCTTTGAGTTCTCCTGCACAGCTAAAACAAAGGCTAGACAAGAACTAAGAACACGATGTCGGTTCCTCCCTCGATGGTACAGAAGCACAGACGTTGGTTGAAAATGTTGTTGTTTCTTCAAGTTTTAAGATGGTGTTGAATGTTTTGTTAGGGTTGAAACTGGTATTGTTTCGTTGGGGTTGAAAACAGTGTTGTACATTTCGTTAGGGTTGAAAATCACGTTGTTTCGTTAAGGGTTGTTTCTTTATGGGAATGAAAATATGGAACTGAAGAGACAAGTAAGCTAGCTCTATTTAAAGTGATTAAATAATATCACAATGGTTGTTTATCAAAACCGATGTGATATATGATAAAACTTATAAAACAAATGTCATAACTCAAGCAAATAATTATAAATAAAAAAAGAGAGAGAGAAATATATCACAGTGGTGTTTTTAGACAACTCTGGTGACATAAGATTTACATTAATGATGTTTTATATAAAAAAGCGTCAGATTTTAAGTAATTAACAATTAAAAGAAAAATATAAAATATATCACAACGGTTAGTTTTAAGAACCGTGGTGATATATATATATATATATATATATATATATATATATATATATATATATATATATATATATATATATATATATATATATATATATATATATATATATATATATATATATATATATATATATATATCTTTTTTTCTTTAACTTCGAATCATCACTAAACTCAAACTTCAACTGCACGTTTACATCAATAAGTATGTATTAATGTATATATAACGTAATATCGAATCCATAAAAAATAAAAATAATACCTGAACGTCTGCCCATATGCTTTTTTTCACCTCATCTGGCACATCCCTCTAATCAGCTAACGATATGTTTACTTTTCTACGTCCAAGGAACGTAACATAACTCTTAAACAGCGGAGAATGAGGACCATCAAGAATAGTATGAACATAACTAAACTCGATAAGAAGTCTGACACCCGACTTGCGGACTTTTGTTAAAGTAGCCATCATTGTGGCACCTCTTTGCTGTAT